TTAAAAAATTAACATTAATTAAATATAAATAATAATTACCTCATATTTTTCCTTTATTTTTTTGTTAATTTGTTTTTTACTTATTTAATAATTTCAAAAATTCATAATATACCACAGAGAATCTGCCAAGATGGCGTCATCTATTGGCCAGCCATTAATAAATGACAACATTTCTTCTCGTCAAACTCTATCGGTAAAGTAATAGAAATAATATAATATGTACATTATCGTAATATTTATTGATGTTATTCAATAATTTTTTTGAATAAATTTATTTTTAAACTTTATTTATTATTATAACATAAAATGTACTTATTTTATTATTATAAACATAGTTTAGAGAGAATAATTAATATATAATTTTTTAAAAAATTATATTTTAAATAAAAAATATTAAAAGAAATTTATGTACCTCTAATTATTTTTGTCATTTCTATTAGATTGTCTGGTAAGTTCGAGCCGATGTTGAAGGAAAATTGAAACGCAGAAAATTTTAATTTAATAAATGTATACTAAAATTTAAATTTTAGTCGGCACGAACTTTCCGGACATCCCAATATCTTACATTTATGAACGTTATATTTTGTTTCTTGTTTTTACTATAAAATTTTAAATAATAAAATTTTTTATGTTATTATTTCACTTTTAAGTTTACTCTTTTGAGTATCTTAAATTTCAGACCAATAAATACTTTTTTTAATGAACAGAAAATATTCTATCTATTTAACGTAATCTTTATTATTTTTCGCTACGCGAATAATTTGCGAATAGTATTACTATGAGATTATGAGCTATTTATGCGATAAGTGCGGGATTTATCAATGAGGCAAGTCGGTGAATAATATGTTCGTAAAAAATGTTTCAAGAATTCGATAAGATCGAATGAATTCCACATCATTCACACGAGACAATGCAATTAATAATTAATGAAAATGCAAATGCAAAAAATTCCACACATTTTATACTAAAAAGTCATAATTGAAGATGTGGTATGCTAATTTTTCACATAAAAATTGCACATAAAAATTTTACATAAAAAATAAAGAACATTTTTTTTTTATTTTTATAAGGAACTGTAGAATAATAAAAAGTGGTATTGTTGGAACTGTCAGTATTCTTTTTTATGTTAATAGAATGTTCACAAATCCATACATCTTGACGCGTGCAAAGAATCCGATTATCTAACATCCATCTCATTAAAAAACGCATACGGCGCTATGTCCAAATACAGAAAGAGATTTATTCCTACGACCAAAAAAATATGACGATCTTCGCACTTCGTTTGCGTCTTGCGGCGTAGTATAATCACCGCAGGAAGCAGAAACGACTCGTGAGATTATACAGAAGATGTAGGCGAATTGATCGGAGGATTCACTTGAGAGATAATAATAAAGCCATGGTTCTCGAGAATGCGAAATCGGCTGGATGATTTGAATGAGAATGTTGTGCAAAAGCGGCCGGCCACGCGCGACGCCTCTCGCATCAGCACTTTTACTTCGCATGAGAAGGAAAGCATCTAAAGGAAGTGGCGAATGTTAGGTGAGCAAATGTGTAACCTACATTCGATATGACTTTCGTTCATTGTGATATACTTGATCTGTTTTCGCCCCCCCTCGTCATTTTTACTCATATCTTTTAAATTAAAATATATCTTCCTGTGTATATTTTGATATGGAAGATAACGGCATGTGTTGCTTTCCTTCATATTTTCAAGATAAATACTCTCTCTGTCTCTCTGTGTGTGTGTGTGTGTGTGTGTGTGTGGGTGGGTGGGTGTGGGTGCGTGCGTGCGTGCGTGCGTGCGTGTGTGTGTATGTGCGTGCGTGCGTCCGTGCGTGCGTGCGTGCGTGTGTGTGTGCGTGCGTGCGTGTGTGTGTGTGTGTGTGTGTAAAACAATATTAAGTCAAAAGTGATCAATTAAACCAAAGTTACATATTATTTACTGGATATATAGTGAAAGAAAAATTTTGCACAGGGAAGATAAAGAAAGCTTTATTTATAAAAAATAATCATTTATTAATAACGAATATTATCTTGATATAAAGAAAAAAAATTCGTAAAAAAGTTTATTATCTTACAATTAAAAGTTAAATTTCTCGATTGCATGAATACTCTTGCCGAATAATATACTTTCATTTTCACTTATTATTAGAATAATATATATATTTTAATCACACACACATAACACACACACACACACACACACACACACACACACATCTTTTTTAGAAATGTACAATCTATTTTATTTTTGCTAATAAATTGTTAATTAATGTTTACTTTCTAAAAATAAAATCTTTTAAAAAGATATCTTATTGTATAAATATTTTTACACTTACTTTATATAACTATAACTGTGTATATACTGTATAACGTTTTTGTTAAACTAATTTATGTATTAAATAATATTTAGACGTATAAAAAATAAATTAAAACTATCGTGAATGTCAAAAGATTAGAATAATTAAAAAATTGTATTTTTATTATATATTTATTGTATTTTTATTATATAATTTTTTATAACTTTAATAATAATTTAAACTGCATTATATCTTTATTTAAAGTTAATTTAATCAAATTAAACAGAATTTATGCATTTAAAGCATGTGAAAATTAATCTTCCACTATGTAAAAAATTCTTTCCATCTGCACCTTTCACGGAACATTAATGACAGATCACGATGTGGCTATAATGTATATAATGAGGCAGTAGTCAATGCGTGTTAGATGAACTATGCATATTAATAAGAAACTCAATTGCTCGCATTTCTCATCACCTTTAAAGCAGTTGGGCAATATACCTTCATGCTATAAAGAAATCGTGATCTTCGGATAAGTACACAACAACAATAAAGTAATATTGACTTATATTATTGTTATTATAAAATAAAAATTTACTTAATTTAAATTTAAGTGCTTTATAACAGCATGATAAATCATTATAAGCGATAGAAGATTGATGAAGGTAAATGGAGATTGATGAAGTATGTTACAATTTAAATTTAAAAAAATGAAAAGTTTGATGATGGTGCAGAGAAAAGTAAAGAAAACATAAACACACGCGCACACGCACACACACACACACGCGCGCACGCACGCACGCGCGCGCACACACACACACACACACACACACACACACACACACACACACACACACACACACACACACATAAAACATTTCGTTAACAACATTTTTATGATTTTGCTTCGTCCTTTTTACTTTCAGCGATTGTTTTTTCACGGAAAATGCATATCGCGTATTTTCGCGCGAATACAAAGGATGTATATCAAATAAAAATGCGGATGCAAAAGATTCATGTCGGAAACCGCGATCGTCGATATTTATGAGAACCGCCGGAGCGTCAGTGAATTATCCGGCAACATTTGTTCGACATATGTTTCTTCCGGATTTGGAGAGAACCGGTTTTCTTCCATAAACCTCTATAACTTAATTCAAGAGCGATTCAGTAGAAATATCAATTAAATATTTTATTATGCACAGTTACTAGATATTTCTCTAGATGCTATTCTTTATATTCTTATTTATTATTTCTTACGTTCAATTTTTTGGTACAAAAATTGTCATTTACATTGTGCAAATTTAATCATAATTAAATAACACAATTAATTCTTTGATAAATAGTATCCTTTGAAGAAAAAAGTCACATTAGACAAAGTTAGCTATTTATTTATAAGCTCAATTATCATCTCATATATATCTTATATTTTGTTAAAAATATAAGAAATAAGAAGGCATAAAAAATTATCTGTGAAAGAACTGTTTTGTTAATATCTTGTAAACTATACAGTTCATAATGAAAGTTGTTTAAAATTTCAGAATCATCTTTTTATCACACCAGGATCTAATCTTATGAATGAAACTGGCACATTATAGATGAGACGTCTAGCTTTTTCTAATATTAATTGCATATTCTCTTTTAATTAAATATTCGAATAAAATTATTAAAAATTGCATTGGAAAATGCATTGCAAATATTTGCAGATTAATCTATAACTCATTTTTAAAAAAATGTTAACCGATGCTGATTATAAAACTGTTTTCTGATACTGAAGCGATTAAAGGAGTTGAAATTTCAAAGTACAATTACTTAAACACGAAGTAGTAACAAAAATTCATTCAATCGTGCATAAATATGAGTGTATTTATTTAAATTATCTTAAATAGACACATTACTTCTTCAGATTTCTTTTTAAAAAGTAAGAACCTTTGAACATGCACGTCTCTGCTTTTCAGATTTAGATGTAGAGCTTTCAACAAACAATGTTTTCTCGCGCTTTTATCAAACTGATTGGAAACAGCTGGTAACAGATAAGCAGCAAATGACGTGACAGACGAAATAGCAAGTTACGCTCCTGGTATCTCGCTGCGTCGTCACACCTGTTGCCCTCGGCAGGATACCAGTGTGATACGCCACTGGCACTGTAAACCGCTGGCACGGCTCACCTGTTGGCCTCAGCAGTACTTGCTGGGTTCTCGACCGCGCGGCACCTTTCGCCCGACGAAGCTGCTGACGAAGCGACGGACTTTCCGTTCTCCACGTATTCTTCGTTCGGCGAATTCTCTCTCTCGCGCGCGTACGTCTCCAAGAGACGGTTGTCGTTTCTCCGATTGGTCCTCGTCGATCGGGGATCATATCCGGTATTGGAAAGAGAAACCGGAAGGAAAGGACCGCTTAAAGTGGAGCCTTCGCCTTCGACCTGGAGAAACGCGACGCGTCGCACCGGACGAACGAAGAAGAGGGAAGGCAGGCGAAGAAACTAACCGGTCGGTCGCTTTCCGCGGATTCCTTAACCGCCGTCGGCCCCCATCTCTGGATTGTATGCAAATACCTTGCGGAAACATCCTCGTGCGGGTTGCTACCGGCCAGAAGAGTGCGGTCACCCTTTCTCGAGGATACAAGGAGCTCATTTCCTCCGCGTAAAATTTTTGTGTCTGCAACTCAGGTATGCATATGAAATTCGCATATCTTCATCACGCACGTATACGATATTTTCGCGATAAACAAGGTCCAATAGTCGCGCAAACTCGATTACTGTAACGATTCATTCATCAGAATATTTGAAACGAGAGTTGTTGAATTCGCCTTTGGCGTGTTGCTTGTGAAAGCAAAATTCGAAGATTTGGAGTCTTGGAGTCGATTCTATTTTGCGTTAATTTAAATTTAAAAATAATTTTAAAAATTATATATTGAGTGAATAATACATATAGTATATAATATAAGTGTATATATATTATAAGTGTTTCTCTTGTGAGATAAATTTTCTGACAAATCTGGAGTAGATAATTTTTAGAAAATTTAATTGGAATCTGTTACTAAATACAATTCAATTTTCTCAAAATTATCCAAACGTATTTGCGATATCTTTGAATGACA